GAAGAAATGCAGTTATTTTTATTCTTTTAGAATAAGCTTGGAGGGGTGTTTTTTTCCCCCACTTGCCTTTAGCCATGGTACAAACTCACCCTGGCAAAGTTTGTGCGAAAAAGTTTTAAATTGTTCTCAGTGATACCATTGTTAAAATAGTATGTTCCCCATTAAGATAAGGTGACCAGACATCCCGCTTTTGGCGGGACAGTCCCGATTTTTAGCAATTTGTCCCGCGTCCCGTGGCGTTTTAAAAGACCCGGTTTTTGGAAAGAATGCATGACAGTGGTGGGTTGCTCCCGGCTGCCTCCTGAGTCGCAGCTGAATGCTAGAGGGAAAAAAAACTGTTTAAACTCTTGCCGTGGGTCTTCAAAGGGCAGCCCTACAGCTGATCAGTGTTAAAAGAAAACAAATGAGTAGACCGATGCCTGCAAAAATAGAAAAAACAGCCCCTTACAGCTTCCGCATAGGTTAATTAGCACAAGTTGATTAGCTCGGCTTCCCGACTCTCAGCTGATTTGCTCTCAGCTGTTTTGCGCAGGGCTCTGTTCTGTTGCTAGCTGCAAAGAGCAGATTTTTTTCCCCCTAGCTATGCTGAAAAAGCGAAAGTGAAAGTAAAGCAAGGTCTTTGCTGCAAAGTGACAAAATGAGGCAGAGAGAGATTTCTTTTTCTTTTTCTTTTTCCTCAACAAAAAAGGTAGGTGCAAAACTGCAAACAATGGGAAATTTAGGGCAAAAGAGGAGAGTTCAAGATTTTAAAACACAAAAGAAAAAAAGCTCTATTTAACTAGGGAATTGTAATAATTGAGATACTATTAATTGTATATTGTGTTGAAAGCAGAAATGGTTAAGTTGTGGTTTGGAGGAATATATGGGGGAAATTATTTGGTTTATTATTATTGGTAAATATAATTAATTGATTTGGATTGCATGGAAATAATTGGAATATTCATGTTCATATTGATTAATATACAAAAAAGAGAGTTATATAACTAATTGATTTATATTAAAATGTTGAATTTGTATTAAACAACTGTATTACATAATTACATAATTAACCAATGTGAGGATGGATATAAAAATAGATGACAATGGGAAGGGGTATAATATAGAATAGAAGGGAAAAATTGAATTTGATTAAGATTAGAGATGAGGATGAAGGGTAATATTGTTTTTTTTAAAAAGTAGATGAGGAATAAATATGGCAAAAAGGAAATATAGAAATTGTAAGTTTAATTGAAATGACTAAACACTGTTTAAATTTGTGAACCAGCCAAATATTCTGTTCAAAGAAAATACATTGTATGTTTGTATGTGTGTTTCTAATTATTGTTATTTATTCATATTTGTTCTCTTTTATTCTTTAAAGTTTAACAATTCATTCTTTATCTTAATATCTTTATATTTGTTTGGGGTTGGCTTTCTTTCCTTTCATCTTTTTTATTGTACAGCAATCTTTCTCCTCAAACCTATCACCTCTCTCTTTTCTTTCCTTCTTATTTTCTCTTCCCCCCACCCTCTTCTTCTCCTCCCTACTTCCTCTTCCTTTCTCCTTCTCCTCCTCGCTTCCTCCCTCTCTTAACCTCACTCCTACTCTAATTTCCCTTCCCTTCCTTCATCCCTCTCTATTGCTGTATCCTTTTATGCATATGGACTACTCAGAGGGCTGAAAAAGTTATTTTTGACTGGTCTTCGCACTTTTGACCAGTCCTCAAACTTACGACTGTCCTCACATTTTACGTTTTTTGCCCTATCTTATCACCATGGTGAAGAGAAGCAGTTGTGAAATGAGTGACATGGTTGTTAAGAATGCTGCACGGGCATAAATGTGAGGATGGTCAGAAGTGCGAGGACCGGTCAAAAGTGCGAGGACCTGTCAGAAATGACTTTTTTCAGCCCTCTGAGTAGTCCCTATACACATAGTCATGGCCACCCGGTCACATGACCAGCTAGCCACACCCACCCAGTCACATGAGATCCAAGCCACGCCCACAAAATAAGCCACACCCACAATGGTGTCCCGCTTTACCAATGTTAAAATCTGGTCACCTTACATTAAGAGCTATGGTGGCGCAGTGGTTAGAATGCAGTATTGCAGGCTACTTCTGTTGACTGCCAGCTGCCTGCAATTTGGCAATTCGAATCTCACCAGGCTGAAGGTTTCCATCCTTCCGAGGTAGGTAAAATGAGGCCCCAGATTGTTGGGGGCAATATACTGATTCTGTAAACTGCTTAGAGAAGGCTGTAAGAGCACTGTGGAGCAGTATATAAGTCTAAGTGCTATTGGTATTAAGTTGATAGTGTCCAATGGTAACTGTGAGATGTATAAAGTCTGCCAAGCTTAGCTATCCATTCTGTCAAATGAAAAATTAGGTGACCAATAGTGGATGGGGTTAGAAGGGCATTTACGGGCTGTTTCAGGCTAATGCTGGAATTCACCTTCTCTTCCTCCCCCTCTTATCTTCTCCTATGTTGTTGTTTTCTTTCTAAAGGATTGGATGCAGCAGCTCTGTACCAGTAGTCTATTCGGAATTGTGCAGTAACGCTAAACAGCTCGGCTGGCCCTTGTTTATTAATTTATGCATCTTAACTAAGGAGGTGCTTGGTAATGAGCTTGGTTGTTTTCTTGCAGACATTCCATTACCTGAACTAGGCAATGACATCGTGTTTTAACTTCTCTCGAATCTACCATTTTAGTATAAATCTGAAATAGAAAAATAGTGAAATGTTGTAGCGTTGGAAAAGCAGATACAAGGAAGTGAAGCAAGGATAGAACAGCTAAAGAAGGCTAAAGAACACAGTCCCTAAAAGATGGAATCTCCTCCAGTTCAATCCTCAAAGAGAACAGGATGGAATCTAGAAGTCAGCATTTGGTGTTTACATAAGGAAGGAAAGGGTCAAAAGGTCCAAGAGAAATGTTGTCTGTGATTCAGCTCCATTTGTGACTCCAGACTGTTTTCTTTTTAAAATCTGAAATGAACTCATGTCATGGCTTAATGGATTGTAGTGAGATGGGTAAAGAAGAGAACCTAGCTGACTCAGACCTGTTCCATTTTTTGCTGCAGTGCCATTACTGGTAGATAATTTTCCTAACAGCTGGGTGATATACTAAAGAAGGAATAATATAATCCATAAGATTATAACCTAGGATGTTGTGTGATGGAATATAATAGGCTGGATTCCCAGGAGGGAGAGAGTGCATTGCAGAAGAATTAGAAACAACTCATATTTATATGCATATTCAGGACACCACCAATGCAGGAGCAAGAAAGGAAGAATAGAGACTGGCATTTGGGATAGCCAGGTTTATTCCATAAGAGTTTTCTGCTGACTGAAGAATGGGTGCTATTTCTTTAGTTCAGCAGTAGGCCTTTAACTTCTTGTAGCAGGGTTTGTTTCTATGCACGAAGAATTAAAAATTCCATAAAATGGTTTTGGTTTTGGAAAATGCTGGGTCATGAAAACTAACTAATAGAGTTCTCCCATCCATTTATTTATTGTGGTGTTTAATGTGTCATATGCAAAACAAACAATGGTGCAGTCTCCCTCATATAAATGCTATTACCTTGAGAATGTATTGAAGACAGGTAGTTATTACCAAACTTGATTACATTTGTTTTCTAAAGAAAATATTATTCATCAGCAGCTCAAATTATAAAGTATATAGCAGATTTATTTCATTTTATTATTTTCTTTTGCAGGGTTCATAAGTTACTCCAATCAGGCTAGCTCTTTGAAGAATAAAGATCTCTATTTCCAGTTTTTCCATCAGCAACATTTGAAGAGGTCCTCAGAAAACAGAATGGGTCTGGTGGAAGTTTCTCCATGTTCCCAGTAGATCTCTGGAGTAATGCAAAGAAAACAATTCCTTCCTCTAAAAAATAATTAAATATATTGGTAAATGGCAAAAAGGCAGAGTAATATCACCACCATGTGTTTTTGGTTCAGATAGAATCCTGCTCCTTTCCTCCCCATCTTTTTAATTGTAAATTATTATTTTATTTTTTCAATGTTTTATTGGCTTTTAATGTTTGTAAGCCACCCAGAGTCGCCTCTAGGCAAGACAGTTGACAAACAAGTCTAATGAACAAACAAGACCTGTGATGGCTCAGTAGTTAGAATGTAGTACTGCAGGCTAACCCACTGCTCACTTCAGGAGTTCGATTCAAGGTTGACTCAGCCTGGCATCCTTCCGAGGTCGGTAAAATGAGGACCCAGATTGTTGGGAACAATATGCTGACTCTGTAAACCACTTGGAGAGGGCTGTAAAGCACTATGAAGCAGTATATAAATCTAAGTGCTTAATACTATTGCTAATAAATAAATACATAGAAGCCACATTAAACTTTGGACCTTTGTAATTGTTTAATTACAACAGATCTTCTGACCTTGGCTCACCAAGGTCAGAAGATTATTGAACTATCAAAGTTGGTCCAGATAAATTCCATTTACCTTAATGTACATTTTTATTAATGCCTTGTTTTTAATTTTTCCAGAAGGAACAATGCATTAATTTATCAAACGAGTTTTGCCCTTACAGTGGATTTTAATATTAAACAAAATGAAACCTTTTAAAAAGATCCTCTTAGGATAGTACAATTTTAGATGTTTTGTTCCAAACATGCTTCTGGAAATACCTTCCACCAACACACACCTGCTTTGTTCAAGAAGACATTGTGCTTTTGTGTAAGCTGAGCTTCAATTGTACATTTGTGCATCAATTTTAATTCTCTTCCTTTTGTTCATTTTTTCATGCCCTTGTACTCAAACTTGCTAAATTGGAAAATAACAGTGAAGACAATGGCTTGCGCTACAATGTTTAAGATTTACAATAATCTTAATTGTATCTAATAATGGCCTTTGCCATGACAAAATTGTGCAACTTTCTCAAATCCGAAAATAAAATGTATAATCATTCCTGGTTTTTAATGTTGAACTGAAAAAATGAAAAATTCTCAAGTCGGAAACAAAATATGGAAGAAAAAAAAAAGGGGGGGGAGCAAGGGGAACGACTAAATGCACATAATGGGTCATTATTTAATATTTTATTTAAACAATCCAAGTCAATTGTAGGAACCAAAACAGAGAAGCATAGGGTGACATTTTGGGGAAGGACTCTAACTTCGGCTTGTTCATATCATCCATTTTGAAGGCAGAAGGGCCTTTTCCCATTCTTGGCATGCTAGAAAAATGAGAATGATTCATGCAAGGGATCTAATATGTCTGGAAATCTGATTCCTGCCGGTCAGAGAATACAATATAGAGCTAAGTAGATTGATGGCTGAATTTGGCATCAAACGATCTACAATTTTCTTAAGATGTCATAGTCATTTATAACTGTGTAGTAAAGGGTTTATTTTATTTCCATCCTCAAGACAGCAGAAGAACACATCACTTCCATAACTGCTGGCTCCACAGTGTTCTTTCTAGGCCTCCAAAACATGGCCAATAAAATGGCTGTCCTCCCATAAGAGCTGGGATAGCCCCTCTCAAAATTTGCTGTGAAAAAAGCAAGGAGATAAGGATTGCTACAGCAATGAGGGAAGAGAAGGGAGGGCAGTCACTCCAGTCTCCTGGGGTTTTTCTTTCTCCGGTAGGAGCACAGACTGCTGGTAAAATTTATAGTATAACCTTGACACTTTTTCTTCACTCTAATAGGCTGAAGGGCAAGAAGGTCATAGCAATACAGTGTAGACCATGATTCCTACCTAAGCCCCCCACTCCCAAAGGAAAAAAAAATTGTTACTGGTTACATTCTGCTCTTTCCAGCAGCTAGAACAGCAGAGGTTCCCAGGGAGCCAGTTGGAGCCCTGCAAGATCCTCATCTCTTTTCTTCAAATGAACCGGAGTGTTTGTATAAGACATTGTGTTGCATTTTCTGCTGGATCATTTTGAGCTGGCTTCACTCTGCCTCAAGGGAAGTTCAGCCCTGAGATGAAGTCTCTGTGGTGAGGACATGTCCTCAGGAAAAAAATGGTGAGCAGGCCATTTAGAAGGTCCTTGGATGAGATTGATGGAACACATAGCAAGTTTATACATAATCTATGATACTTTATGTCTTAGTTAAGGAGCTGAATTAATACTTTGAAATTAATTTAGAACTTTACTTCGAGGATGTGCAAAATGTTTGGGACATAAAATGAAGAGAGCGGCCAGTTTGAGCTTGCAATGGGGCATTTCAGTCTCAAGAGATTTTAAGCTCAAAAGTATTTTATTCTCTTACTTTACATAACATTAAAATGCAGATGATTCTAAAGTTTTGGAAGAAAATGAAAGGGCCCTTCAGTATTTGTAATAGCTAGATCTACTTAGTGATATGCATCTGCTCTGCAATTCAGTTTCAGACTTTATGATTGAACACTTTTTATGCAACTTGCTACTTCCTTACAAAGAAACAGAGAACTGAAATATTAATGTCATTGAGATTCATGCATTTGGACATATTTATATATGTATCGGGCATACACTAGGTAAAAAGACAGAGGAAAGAAACGTAGTCTTTAGACAAAGGATTTTGTACATGTTGTGAAATGAAACACCTGTAATAATTTCTTTCGTCTTTCTAGGAAGGTGAATTCTGTCAAGAATATGCATGCTGACAACCTGAAATGCAAAATTTGACAGCATGGAGGATATTTAATTCATGGCCACAGTAATGTTTACAAGCTAAGTTCCCTATTTTTTATAATGGGAGACAATGCAAGAAAGTATATTGTCTTTATCATTACTTACTGGTTTTGCATATAAATTCTATACTCACCATATGCCCATGGGACAATATCTTCATTAAAAATAAAATCCTTAATAAGCTAGGCCTTGCTAAGTTATTGTTCCAAGTGTGGATGCATTCATATTCTCCAGCTGATTTGTGCATAACTTGTACTTCAAGATTTTCATATGAATGAGCCTTCCGGTTTTCAGCCCTGTTGTTTTTGTATCTAATAAAGCAGCTAGTTTTAATTTCATATACTGATCATGAGAATCAACAGGCTATCTCAATGATATGGGTATCAGTGTTGGACTCCTATTTAGCAGAATGCAGATCCATGACATAGTTTCAAACTTGTGCATATGCATACTTTCAAAAATACACACAACTATATATTTGCCTTACACTTTCCATCATTCTTTGCCTTACTTCACACACTTAAAAACCCTCCCGTGAAAAATGGCTGCATAATATCATTAGGTTTTGTCCAAATTTTTTCTTTTATATGATTCCAAACAGCTTCCTTCTATATTTCTGTTTTGTATGGCCTTACTTCAGTAGTGGGTTTCAAAACCTGTCGCTACTGGTTCGCTCATGGGTGTGTGCATGCCGTGCTTGTGTGTGCGCATGATGCTTCTGCTCATGCACAGAAATGTCTGGGTGGGTGGGTGGAGCTTCCCACCGCCACCGCTACCGGTTCACCCGATTCGGGGGAAACTGGTAGCAACCCACCACTGTCTTACTTTATATAGACCTAGTCTTCTTATACTCATTATAAAACTGTAGTTGGAGGTTTCTTACTCTTCCCTCTTGGGAAGATCTGGACATCTTCTTCCATGAGTAATTGATCACAACTGTAATAAATCAGTCATCAGCCATCACAATATTCTGAGGAGTTATTTACATCCTTTTTCTTATATCTTTTGGATTTCCAATGGATTGATTGATAACTCATAGACAGTTATCAATGAAGTCAAGAATGGCATAGAACCAGTTAAAGCTCAATGTTAGCAAATTTTTAAGGTGAATTTTTTTTAGGGGTGAAAGGATTTAATTTAAACTTCAACAAAGTAATGAATTGTTGGTTGGGGCGGAAGAAATTTGCTTTCATGATTTATTAGTATTCCAATGAACTGACAATTTTGAGGGATACTCCCAGAGTAATAAATCCCACACAGAAATAAAACTCATTGAGTACAATGGGGCTTATTTTCAGGATTGGATACTATATTTCAAACTAAATGAAGGGCTCCAAGTTACAACAACTTCACAAAGTAAGTCCAAGGCAAAGTGAATGAATTTCAGGGCTCAGTAAATACCATGGGTTAAAATGTTTGCTTATTGTATGTCTCCCTGTAAGTTTACCTAGGCAAAACATATGAAAGAAAAATCTTGAATCTTTTTAGGGGCCCCCTACCTCAGGCAAAACTTCAGTTATTAGGGTTTTTCGTCAAGAATCCAAGGCCTCAAATTGCTCGCAATACCAATAATAAAGATACAGCTTACTGTTATAACTTTGTGTTATAGGATGTGAAGTTAATAAATCCTGCTACCCTCCTTAAACCCTCACCTTAGTATACCTACTACACCCTGGATTTTGTCTGAATTGGCTATAGCCTGCAAATGGTAAACCCAGGTGAAGCGTTCCAATACCTGCGACAAAAATGCATTTGCATGCAGTTTGCTAAAGTTCCCTATTTGATCTGATCTGCTGGAATGGGATTAAAAATACATTTCATATTTTGCTGACTGGTAGGACTTTTTTTTTATATTTCTTATGTGCTCTGCCATGATTCAAAATGCTGGGAATAGAATATATTGTGCAGAGATTTATCCAGTGGGTATTGCATACATTTCTTGGGCATAATACATGAAATAAACCATTTGTATGATTCACGCAAAGCTGAGAAGGTCAGAGTGAAAAAAAAAATCCATTTGCCGAATCAATTCAGGACATCAATAAGTTTAATTACTGAACTAAATCAGCTGGGTTTACAGTACAGTGAGTAAGTTAAAAACTACAATAAACATTTGAAAATTAGGTTTCCACTTTTTTAAAAAAGAGCTTTTCTCTTTTGTAGCAATCTCTTATTTTTAACTGATTGGACAGCAAAATATGAATGCCAGACTATCTGTGAGATGACATGTTCTTATTCACCTGATAATTACTCCCTACCTCCCAAAATAGATTTTAAACAATGGTATGAAAAGTTCATGTAAATCCTTATGGTTCAGCTCCTTCCTGGACTGCAGTTAATTTTAATATTCCACAAAATAATCCCATGCACAAGACTAACTTTCCAAGAAAAATTCCATTACAGTGGGACAAATTTCTATCCAGACACACATGACTTTGAATTATAAATTCAGATCCTTAGAACTATAGAAAGTAACATGTTAAATCAATTCCTATCCCTCTAGAACAGGTGTCTCCAAACTTGGCAACTTTAAGACTCCCAGAATTCCTCAGCCGGGCTCATTTCTCAGGCTGGCTGAGGAATTTTGGGAGTAGAAATTCACATGTGGTAAAGTTGCCAAGTTTGGAGACCTTTGCTGTAGAACAGGGGTTTCAAACTTGCGGCCCACATGCCGGATGCGTCACACGTTGGCCACACCCACCCTTAGTTTAGTGAAGGGGAAAAAGTCACGTGATGACAACGTGATACATTATGTGTCGACAATGTGAGGCTGTGAATTTGACACCCCTGCTCTAGAACATTTATTTGGACATGGACCAGAATGTTACAGGGCGGCACATAAGAAATCAATCTTAATGAAGCTAAAGACATTCCAATCTGCCTAGTGTCTACTTAGAAGACCATCGGGAAGTCCTGAGCATGTCATATTTAACTTTCTGGAAGAATAATAAGATATAAGATAATAATAATAATAAGATTATAATAATATAATTAATATTATAGGCAGACTCAGTCATTTAAGGGATTATTAAACTAAACCTGGACCAGAAGTGAAATGCTACCAGTTCGGGGTGGTTCTCCCGAACCGATAGTGAAAATGCTACTGGTTCGCCCAAACCGGTAGTAAAAAAATGCTTTAAAAAGTAAAAAAAAAAGTTCTGACGATGGCGTGGCACAGCTGATCGTCTGAATTTTTTTTTTTTTACTTTTTTAAAGCATTTTTTTACTACCTGTTCAGGCAATACCGTGTTTCCCCAAAAATAAGACCCTGTCTTATATTTTTTTGAACCCTGAAACAAGCGCTTGGCCTTATTGCCATGCGGTCAAAAGCCTGATTGGGCTTATTAACAGGGGAAGTCTTATTTTGGGGAAAACAGGGTAGGTAGTAAAAAAAAAGCTAAAAATAAGTTAAAAAAAGGTTCTGAAAATCAGCTGTAACAATCAATTGTGTCGCGTGATCCTCAGAACTTTTTTAAAAAACTTTTTAAAGCATTTTTTTACTACCTATTGGAGGGGAGAGTCCATTTTTGCTCCCAGGAGGCTTCCCTGCTAGGCCAAAAATGGGAGGTGAGGGGTTGCTGTGAAAGAAAGAAAGAAAGAAAGAAAGAAAGAAAGAAAGAAAGAAAGAAAGAAAGAAAGAAAGAAAGAAAGAAAGAAAGAGAAAGAGGGAGGGAGGGAGGGGAGAAAGAAAGAGAAAGAAAGAAAGAAAGAAAAAGAAAGAAAGAAAGGGAGGGAGGGAGGGAGGGAGGGAGGGTAAAAGGAGAGGAACGAAAGATCACAAACCTGGCATTGATGCAGCTTCAGAGAATACCTTGAAAGATCACAGCAATCTAGGCCTGGAAGGGACCTGGAGGTCATCTAATCCAACCCCCTGCTCCAGCAGGACATTGTTAAAGTGAGTTTCTGTCTTTTGATTCCCCCAATCACATGACTACATAGCCACGCCCACCCAGTCACATGACCCCACCAAGCCATGCCCACAGAACCGGTAGGAAAAATTTTTAGATTTCACCACTGACCTGGACAAATGTGTACTTCCTGTTCTGCAAGCTGTGCCATCCAGCAACGAGTGGGTAAATATTAGAAGGATCCATTTTAATTACAACAGAATTGAGATCAATTTTATTCATTCTGAAAAATAAACTCAGTCAGAAGTCAATTTTTAAAAAGTTTGGACTGCAGTTACAGTCCAAATGTAGCATTTTGTTCCTCTTCACCTGCGTAATTGGTGTACTAGAATTAGCAGAAGTCCAAAGAGGAGCTCACTTGCAAGAGAAATGCTAATAGCTGTAAGCCATTAAACTACATAGACCTTTTGCTGATAGCCTACCTTTTTTGAAAACAATATTGATCAAGGATTATGTACAGTAAGCAGTGACTGGAAAAAAAGAGGAAGGAGGTAGTATAGAACTATCAGGAGATTGTTGCAGAAGATATATATGTGTGTGTGTGTGGGGGGGTGTTGGAAGAATAGTGTAGAAAGTTAGCACCCACCCCTCTCCTAGAAGAATGAAATATTCTAGGAAATATTAAAAAGGCAGAATATTTCCCCCGAAAGAGAAATAAAAAATCTTAAAGGAAACAGAAACAAAAGACCCCATCTCCCTTCCCCCAGCAGATATTTTGGTGCCAGCTTATCTACAAGACAAAAGACTGGGCCAGTCTATCTTCAAAACAAAAGACCTCAGCTCAGATGATGGGATTATCCTTCAGGGCAAAGCCATTCAGCCACAATAGGAAATTGCCCTTCATTGTATTACCCAGCAAGATTCAACCAAGGCTGGGACACAGACAGCCTCCAAAGTTAGCTAAGACCCCCCCCGCCCCCTGGGAGTCTGACAGCCAACAGGAAAACAGAAAACAGAAAGCTCAAAGGCAAGGCCCAAGAGAGGGCTCTCTCTCTCTCTCTCTCTCTCTCTCTCTCTCTCTCTCTCTCTCTCCACTCCATGTGTTCAGCTACCCAAGACTTCAAACCCATGAACTGAACCTAGATGGACATTTCTTCCAACAGTAGAAACCAAGAGAAAGAAACTCACAAAACTTTGTTTTTATTTTGTGGAGCATAAGTTGAAATAGAGAGGGATTTTGGCAGGCTTTCAAGATATTGTTATAAGATCTGAACTGCATTCTTGGTTTTTTTTTTAAATATTACCTACCTTGAAAGACTGGTAGGTGATTAGCTGCACCAGTGAGCTCTGTTGTGTAATAAATTATTTCTGTAGCAGTTTAGTAAGATGTTTCTTTCCTTTATATCTTTTGAAGGGTGACATATTTTCATAAACATTTCAGGTCTATAAGCGTAACATATCAAAGATCCTACAAGGCTATTTTGAAGAAAACAGTAAGTATAAAATTAGAAGAAAATGAGGGCATATATTTATATTTTTCTGTATAAGCTATGAATATCAACTGTCTGTCTGCTTGTTTTCTCTTGATGGATTGTGATTTTTTTAGTTCGTTCCTAGGATTTCCTTCTTGAGGACTGTTTTACAGATAAATCTTCTATATTCCCTTGTAGGTCTCAGTTATATGGAGTTATTTTATGATCTAGTGACTGCCATATAGTTTTGTCTAAATTTGAAAGACATACAGGGAATGTTTCAGGGAAAATAGGAACAACTCAAGAAGACTGACATATTATACTGAGCGCTATATATTCCCTCCAAATCTTAATTAATGGATCAACATCATATTGATATGCAATGGAATTTTACCATTTACCAGTATATGTCACTGATTTTACTCAAGTCTCTGAAGGAAGAAATTTTTTTATATTCTTTTAAAAAGACATTTTGGTCTTTTAATAGGAATTTGAAAGACTTTAAAATGTAATAATTAACCTTTAGATGCTGGTGTTTCATATTTAATTTATGTGGCTAAATATTTCTCCAGAGACCCATTGAAACCTGAGAGAGAGCACAATTAAACTCTGATAATTTTTTGGGGAAAAAAGTTGTTAGAAGAAGTTACAATAGCAATCAAACAGTTTTGGATCCAGAATGAATTGTCAATGAGATGCAATTACACAAAGGTGAAAGGTTTGCTTTGCTTACTCAGGTAGTTTTAGTCAGATTTAGGTTGTCCTTTATCTTTAGGGCATTAGAGCTGTCATTCCTGAGCATTTGTTTATGAAAGTTCTTGAAAGAGGAAAAAGGTAAAATCAACAGGTGAGTGTCTACACACTGATGGCCCGCAAGGTTTTTGAGCTCCTCTGGGAGTTCAGTACTTATTTGCACAGAAGTGTCTCTTTGATTTATGTTAGAAGTGAGCCAGAAATTGGAGCACAGACGTCTTGCTGTATGAGATCAGAAGTCTACCTAATCCAATAGCTGAACACCAGCAGTACATGCTTAGAGATATTGGATGGTAGTTATGAGCAGGAGTTGAAGTCATGAGGTGGCATCATAAAGGAATTTAGAGGTGACCTTGGGGAAAGAAAGAAAGAAAGAATTGTTAAGGAAGAACTTGGAGGAACTATTACACAGCCCAGAAATTGAAGCAAGCATGAGAAAGAAACTCAAAATAACCCTGCCTAGATTTTATTGATTTTAAGAGCAAAACATGGACTGTTTTTCAAGATTTTATTATCCTCTACAACAATATATACTGCTCAAAAAAATAAAGGGAACACAAGCAGAAGACATCGGAGATCTAAATGAATGAAATAGCCTCATTAAATACTTTGTTCTTTACATACAGTAGTTTATACACTGCTCAAACAACTAAAGGGAACACAAAACTATTGTATGTAATGAACAAAGTATTTAATAAGGCTATTTCATTCATTCAGATCTCGGATGTCTTCTGCTTGTGTTCCCTTTATTTTTTTGAGCAGTGTAGTAGCATTCTTGGAATCTTTGCAGGATGTGTTTCTTGATCTGATCTGTTCAAAAGGATGACAGGCATTAGGCAAACAAGGACCTCCAGCAGTTCTGTCCTTTGTATCTGCATAACCTTTACTTAGTCAGATAATTGTAATAATTGTACAATAATTTAGGGAGGTACATATACACAGCCCTGTACTCAAGAGTTATATAAAGGCAAAGGTAGGACATGCTGCCTTGGTGAAGAACCTTTATTCATGTAGCTATATAAATGTAACATTCAATTAGGTCCAGTGAGTAAAATTGGACTTTTGACATACTAGCCAAAATGTGCCAAAACTGACTTACAGTTAGCAGGAAATGCATGTTGTATACACCCACTTGCAACATTTCTTGCTACCTATACTATTTCCTCTTTCATATTATTCTATTTCCTCTGTCATATTAAAAATCATTGTAGGAAATCTTCAGCTCTCTTTAACCATATAGATAATGAAAGGTAATATATTCATTGGTGAGGACCATGACATATGGAAAAGTGCAATTCGGAATGTAAGAAGAGTAGATAAAAAAAAAAAGGATAACAATGAGTGAAAGAAAAGAAAACATAACAGATGGTCATCATAAAATTTAAAGAAAGTGAAATAACATAATAGACCCAAATGAAGGTGATCTAATCTGATCTAATAAAAGCAAGCAGGAAGATAAAAGTGTAAATTTAATTATGCATGAAAGAGCTAAAGCATATGTCAGAAAATATGAATTGGAATACAAATATGAATACATAATTGTACGGATGAATGCACATTAAAAGAAGCAAGCATGGGTGTGCTTTCCAAGAGTGTGCGCTTCCTTCCATTTCAGTGGTGAAATTCAGATTTTTTTTTACTACCAGTTCTGTGGGTGTGGCTTGGTGGGCGTGGCAGGGGAAGGATATTGCAAATTCTCCATTCCCACCCCACTCTGGGGCCAGCCAGAGGTGGTTTTTGCCAGTTCTCTGAACTACTCAATATTTCTGCTACTGGTTCTCCAGAACCTATCAGAACCTGCTGGATTTCACCCCTGTTCCATTTGGCTATATGGAAGAGGCAATGGGGAATGTCAGGAGAAAAAAAAGAAAAGTATAACATGAATGCAATGGGAACGATGTACTTAAGAAGTGTAAAAAGAAAGAAAGTCAAGAAAGAATGGATGGTGAATGAATGTGGGTTGACTAGAACAGTGGTCCCCAACCTTTTTATCGCCGCGGCCCGCTGAGCGCGCGCAGGGGTGGGGGCACGGCCCAGGAGCTTTTGCGCACGGCCCATTGCGCACGGCCCAGGAGCCTTTGCGCTGCAGCGTTCATGTCCCCCGGCCGCTGTGCGGCCCGGTGCCAGGTACTCCACGGCCCGGCACCGGTCCGCGGACCGGGGGTTGGGGACCACTGGACTAGAAAAATGGATGGTCAGTAGAAATGGAGCAAATTGCAATATGTGTGTGTGTGTGTATGTGTGAATGAAGACTGAATGTCTTGAGAGAAGGAGATGAATGAGAAAGTTAAGATTAGATGGAGCTATGGGAGAAGTTTAAAGAATGAAAAGTGCTGTGCAAAGCAATAAATGGGTGTTGCAGATAAGGAGGAATGGCTTGCAATGATGAAAAGGTATGGAGATTTATAGCAAAAGGTATTGCTGTAAACTGGATTTAGTTTTATTTCTTTTCTCTCGTTTTTATTTCCTGCTTTTGGATTCTTTTGCTTACCACTCCCCCCCCCCTTTTGTGTGTGTGTGTGTGCTTTGAATGATGTTGCTTATCTTGAAAGGGAATAAGTGGTATGCATATGCTGATTTCAGTGACAATCCACCCACAAACAGTGTGTGTGTGTGTGTGTGTGTGTGTGTGTGTGTGTGTGTGTTTCAGGGAAATGAAAAGAATGCAGAGAATGAAAGACAGGCAGAAATGTCAAAATGAACACCTTGTACCATGAAAGGAATTCATGAAATGAAGACATCTGGTTCTCACAAGACCCCTTGCAGGATGCTACTGTATCTTAAGAGGCAATATAATACCAAAACGTACCAACAAGCAAACAAGCAAGCAAGCAAGCAAACAACCTGTATCATATGAACACTTCATTGCAAGGTGGTTTCTGAGTTTTATATCTTCCGATAAAAAGATTGTGAATATATATCATAAGAACTGTCAGCACTGGGCTTCTCTACAACAGCTGGGCCTATATTGGCAAACCCAAAGGAATCCCAACCTATTTCAGAATAATTTGAGTTTAAATGTCTATGGAGATTCTCAATCATCTAGGTCATGGTTGTCCTAAAAGTGCTTTTTCCAAAAGCCAACTGGACTTTCTTGTTGTTTTTTCCTCTTTGAAAATGTTTAAGTTCTCAGCCAAGAAGCTTCTACTTAGAACTTAGATGTAGAACTGAAGAAGTGTCTTGGATGAGAAGCAAAATGTTTTCAAAGGAAAAAACTAAGAAACTCCAGTTGCCTTTTGGAAGAAGCAATTTTGGGACAATTTGAGTTTAAGCATATATTAGCAGTTCTTTCTCTTCTCCTTCTTTGGTCTGATTAATTTCCTAGCCTGATTGTATTTCTTGTTATATGTGCATTTTTCTATGACCGTATCATGGGTTTGGGGAACTTTGTCCTGAACCTTTTCAATCCGTAAAGTTTCAGGATATCCAGACAACTGATTCTGTTGAAAGCATAGCATATGCTGCGTGTCAGACAATGTGCCAAGTGACCTGAATATAATTGTGTCAGTGAAACCAACCAATCTATGAGATTGCTAATTCACATGCATAGAAAAGCTGCCATAGGCAAGACATCTTGCAGCTGTCATATCTTGGATGCCACAATGAAACCATCTTCCTGAGGTCTGATTAAGCAAGCTAATAAGGGAGCTCTTTCTCAGCTTTGACTTTTGTGTATGATACATTTGTGAAGAAGGGAGCTGCAAGCCATTTTCCACCAGGAAGTCTGATAACGAGAGGAGATTTGCAAGAGAGTGTTGTCAAAGTTAAAAAATCAGAAGTCAACTTAATCCTACAGAAAATGGATTATTCCTGCACACCACCATTCTCTTGCCCCTGGTAATGTGCAACTAATCCCATAAGCAGTTGGCACCTTTAAAGTAACACAAAAACAAGCAAAACAAAACAAACTTGATTTCCACATTGGAAAATTGGGAAGTAATAAATTACTAGGGTTGATAAATTGGGTTAGACCATAAGAGGCAAAATATTGAAAGTGTACATATGTATGCCACATTAACAGTGCAAGTGGAAATCTTTTGTATTATGTTAATCAAAGGAAAGGGAATTGAAGTATGTGCTCTGTCAGCAGAAGGACCAACAAGTAGCAAAAGCATATTCATGAACTTGGAGCAAGGAACAATAAAAAATATTATAACAATCAGATATAAAAATATAGAACCCTCTCAATATATATAAGAGCTCTATCAAAACAAGGTTGTTGTGATTTGAATGGCTCTGTTTCTTTACTTTATATAAATTTTATTATT